CTGATATCAACAGCGTATACAGGTCCCCATATGGAAAATTTGCCTATATTCGTGCAAAGAATGAATGCGATCGGATAAGTGCAGAACGCGCACACACTTCCGTCTAAAATTGTCACTAGTGTGAATATTGCGGATAGAGTCCCTGTAATACAAGGCCTGGGAAGAAGAACAATCCCATCCCAGCTGAGTGTCTATTGGTTGCAAGATCATGTGTACAGTCTCCAAACGGTCAATTCATACTAGAGATACTTTCAATTCATACGCAAAAAGATACGGTCACTTCAAACTAGAAGTAATATCAATTCATACAGAAAAAGATACTGTCAATTCATACTAGAAATACTATCAATACATTGAGAAAAAGATACGGTCAATTCATACTAGAAATACTATCAATACCTACAGAAAAAGATACGGTCAATTCATACTAGAAATACTATCAAGTCATACAGAAAAAAATACTGTCAATACTTTTGAGAGAATACGGACAATTTCTACTCGAAAATACTTTCAATTCATACAGAAAAAGAAACGGTCATTTCGTACAAGACATACTATCAATTCATACAGAAAAAGAAACGGTCACTTCTTACCAGACATGCTATCAATTTAAACAGAAAAACACACGGCCAATTCATACGAGAGAATACGGACAACATATACCCGAAGATACGGTCAATTCATACTGAACCTCGCAATTAGAGACCTAAAACCTTTAAAAACTAGATTCAACGACAGTGAATCAGCTACCTTTGTTTCCCTCGCAACACTGGTATTCTCTCCTCGGTTACCCGATTTGGGCAATTTGGACCCGATCACGGCTTTGTTCAGTTCCGAATAGCGCACCACCGAATTGCACCTGCCACAGGGCTCGGTCCCATTGGCCTGGTAGTAGGTGCATCGGATGGTGTCCTCCTTCTTGAGATGAAGTCTACGGGTAGATATAGAAATTGTATGGGTATTGGCACGGGAATAGATGCATTTGATGGTAGTCTCCTGAGATAAAGTCTATAGATAGATATCGATGTATACGTATTGGCTTGGAAATAGAGGTATTTTGTGGTATCCTCATTCGTGGGACAAGTTTATATGTGCAAATCGATCTATGGGTACTGGCCTGGCAATAAGAGATCTGTTGGTATCTCCCTCCTTGGGATGGGGTCCACAATAAGATATCAATGTATAAGTATTGGCCTGCTGCTATGTGTATCTGATAGTTTCCTATTTCTTGAAAATGTGTAAAAGAAAAACAGTGAAATAGTATGAGCTTGGTAGTAGCTGCATCTGACAGTGTCCTATCTCTTGCGATGAAGTCTACAAAAGACATCGATATATTGTTATTGGTCTAGTAGTAGGTCAATTTCATGGTATATATCACCTCCTTGGGATTAAGTACACAGATAGATAACATCGTACATGGATGTCGAGTGCGCGCAAAGAACCGGGGAAAGAGTTTCACGAATACGTTTTGCATTGCTTGCTGGTTTGTAACGGCATACATAGCAAGCACAGTCAGCAGTAGCAGGGTGCATGGTTATAGATAGGAGGGACGCGGATTCTAGGATGTTTCATCCTGAACACTCATTTGCGTGGCATCTGACGTCCGTATTAACGACCGGTATCAATTGAAAACAAGAATCTATTCATTCAAATATGAGTGTGTGTATGTATATACATATCAATGTGTGAATCCCTATATAATTTAGGCCAATTCATGGGCACTTGGGTTTTTAGGGTTTAGTACTGCAATATCCAATACTGTCAAGTATGAAAAGTGTAGCTTTGGGTGTGTGGCTTCATTTGTCTACAATATACGTACCCGCGTGTGAACTCACGAGTACTATACACGCGCTATTCTGTGCAGTTCATCGGTTGCGAGGTCCACCCATAACCTACTTCTAGAACCTATATATAGAATGACAGTGATCTACTTTAGAAAAAAATACTTCACCTATTCAGAGAAAATATTGCAGGCGATACGACGGAATGCGTGCCATAAACGAGTCAATATGTGTATATATCTGGCATGCATGGTCAACATGGTCACTGTTGACATCATAAGTTAACGGCAATAACATAATAAGTTAACGGCAATAATATCATACAACCCTCGCCCGCGACGGTGATACGGTGTCATGCTAATAAACCCTATAAAACTTCTGCTGAGGAATGTCAAAACGCCTTCTAACAGGGATAGAGCGTAAAACATGATAAGTTGTCACTGCAACCATTTGGACCCAATTTAGCTACGAAATGATACAGTTCCGGGTATTTTGGGAATAAAAAGTAAAATATTATAGAATCTCATGAGGCTAACAGGCGACCCGGGTAGGGAGGTGTATTGCAGTGGAGGTAATCGTGCATATGTGGGTGATAAAACTTATATAGGAAACTAGGTTCTTTATCCACTTATGTTGTAGTTGGGCACAATCCTGGAGAATAAGGATACGCACAATGTACGACATTCAGTATAATGATTGCCTTGGGACTTTCACCAACGACAAAAACTTACGGGGTCCACAAAAACGTACAGAATATGCATAATCAGACACACACGCACACACACACACACACACACACAGGCAAACACAAACACAAACACAAACACACACACACATATATATATATATATATATACATATACATCAACAAATACTACAATAAATAATTCATATAT